CTCCAGCCTGTGCTCTGTGGATGCCCTACAACTTTCCCTGCTCGGAACACAGTGCCCAAACACCTCTATGTGAACCTCCCTCTTTGCCTTCTTTTTCCCAGCTCTGAAGTTCTGAGAGCAAGAGCAGGGGAAAAGCTGCTGCTTGAAGGCTCAGATGAAAGGCAGAGCTAACAGCAGCATGCTGATCTGCAAATATTTGCACCAATGGGATTCACACCAAGTTGTGCACACAGAAGACAGCTTTAGCTCACAGTTCCTTTCATTATTCTTTAACACTATAGTCAGGGCCGACACTGTGATGTTTATCCAATCTGTATGAAAAGGTTACCTCTGAAATCTGATGGTCATTGCAGAATGTTCCCAAATGCTGTAGGCCAGGGGAACATTGAGGCAGTTTTATATACCCCCAAAACTTACCTGCAAGGGCAGCTGTGCCAACCCACAATGGCTCACTGTGCTGCAAAGGGAGATGTGCAGAGCACTCCAAGGTGCTCTGCTGGGCTCCTGCCTTTTTAGGAAGGTCTGATGAGTCCCAGTGCCAGCATTAGGTAGGTGGCAGGACACAGGAGCTCTCAGCCCTTGTATTAAGACAGCAACATGAGTAAATACCAACTCGTAACACACGTTTTCCATGGAGAAATGTTCAGTGTATGTCACTGTTAGTTTACGCAGCAACCCATCCCCCAGCTTTTCCCAAAGAGGATCTGAAAGATGTGATCATTTTTCCCAAACACCAAAGTGCTTCTCAGACTTACATCATTTCTGCAAATTTACAGACGTACGTGATACTTTTAGGGATGGCTGGCTTTAGAAACAGCCCATGCAACTCATTCCTTACTTATGTCAGCGTTTGTCAGTGGCTAAAGACATTTCTGATCAGAAACGACTTTTCAAAATGTATAAATAACACTTAATGCACCTGTTTGGTCTACAGACTTCATACTAACAGCAGTTCCTTTTAAATACTTCCCTGACTTAGGAAAACCAAGGAGAGCATTTACAGAAGCTCTTACTGACTTAGCTGAGAGAGATCAAAACCTGATGCCCTGTGCTCAATAGAACAGCATGGAGATGACTGAGCAAATATCAGCTTAGATTGAACAATCTTCCCCAAATACCTCTCTGTGTTATGCAGCTACTTTTACATTCATCTTTTACAGACACGCCTTTGGCTCAAGGTAAACCTGAATCAGTCAGAACCCTTGGACATATTCACCTTCAATCTCAGCTAGACTGTAGGGTAGAAGCCAGCCACTCATTGCTACTAATTACCATGTGAAGCAAAGATGAAGATTAATTTCTGGTCCATAGGATCTTACCCAGCCATGTGAATCATTCAGAGATGAAACGGAGCAGATGGCAAATGGATCAAATGGTTTTGGATAAAGGTTTGTGTACTCACATGAGAAGGATGAAGCTAGGTGTATAGAGGAAAACATGCACATGGAATTAGGGGAGGGTGAAACACAGGGAGCAGCTAAAGAATAGGCAAAGTTGATAGCTAACCAAAAGAAAAACATAATGAAAAAGGAAGACTAAAGGAAATCCTTCTCCACATATAGCCATTTGAAGTTTGAAGTGGTAAAAACAGAGCTTCAGAAGAGAACACAAAAACAGATTATACGCAGTTCACATCTCAAAAAGGTGTGAAGCTCACAATGCATGAAGAAGAGCCAGGTATCTAAATGTGGAAACAGGTCTCTATCTTCCCATCATCTTCCCTCTCTGCTTCCCAACCAAAGCTAAACTGGCCAAATAAATCAGTTCAGGTTAAATACAGTACCAGGCACATTCTCAACTACATCCTCGAGGCACTGCATTAAGCCCACTTAACTTCTCATGTCAACAGCTCAGTGAGGAGCTGCTGCTGCAAGAGACTTCTCTTAAGAATGCCTCAGCTTGTCTAACACATAAAATACATCTTTTACAACTCTTAACTCATGATGTAGGGAAATATTTGAAGCTGAGATGAGCCATTAACTTGCAGACAGAACATTTAGCTTACCCTGAAACTGTCTAAAAAGAGGAATGTACTGAATCCAGGGACTCCGTAGAGGAACTTAGATCTAAAAAAAAAAAAAATACTTAGAATAGGGGAAAAAGAACAAACCACATTTGTATCTCTGGTCTGAATGCAGTAACTGTCCTTTACAATCTCATTAATACTTGTTCTGCACAATGGAGTTAGAGCTGCATGGAGGGCAGGTATGCAGCTCGTTCAGTAAATCCTATTATTTCCATGGGCTGCTAAAGTGGGGCTGAGAAAACAAGAGCCGTTTTCAGGAACAACGGCCTCCCCTCGCCAGGTCTCACGCAGCCTACAGCCAAAACCAGACATGAAGGCTCCACGCACTCCTCCCACCAGGCTGCAGGCAGCCAGGGCTGAATCCAACCTGTGTGAGCACCGCTGCAGATGCACCTGGCCTTGTATAAAAGTATTTAATGAAAAAGGCATTAACAGAAGAACAAGAGGGAAGTTAAGTATGGTTTGAACACACAAGTATTTAAAATAGCAGCTTAAAAGCACCACTTTGTCACCAAACGCATAGCTGCCATCGTGAGGAAACTAAATATAGAAGTAAATGAAACAGCGCACATTCATGACTGCAGGATCTGCTGTGGACTGATCTATTTCAACGGAGCAAAACATAAAAAGGAGTATTGTAGGGACAAACAAATACACTCAGATTAGATGATCAGGAAGCTTACTCTTGGTATCATGTTCCTAACCAGAGACAAAGCCCTGAGTATGCAGTGAAAGCCAGTGCTGCGCAGCCAGCTCCTGTGACAGACACCACGGACAAAGAAGCCCCACCATTAATCCCCAGTGGGGTTACAGATTTCACAGAAGCGCGGCCAAAGGCACAGCAACTGACTACATCTAAGTCTGTGAGACAGAAGACCTGAAACGACCACAGGTACTGAAAGACAAAGAACAGCCCTCAGTCAGCTATACAAGCTTTCTAAGCACACCTCCCACATACCTCTGAGGCAGAAAGGCTCCCGTTCTTACCTCTGTGCCTACCTGTAGCACGGTCTGCAGCTATTACTTTGTCTAAGAGCTTTTACTGAGTCTTGTTTTACCCCTGCTCTCCTTCAGTGGGAGCACCTCAGATTCACCTGCTGCTTCTCCATCCCTGGATTTAACTACATGATTACAAAGGGACAGGTGCTCAACAGCACAGGAGCCAAAACCACAGCCGTGCTCTCCAATGCACCAGCAGGATCACTTCAGAAAAAAGCACAGTTCTTGAGCTTCAAAAGCAGTGAGCACCAGAAACCACATACTTACCCAGCAAAGTGCTTGAGTCTGCTGTGAAAATGCCAAAAGGCAGTATTGCGCTCTGCTGCAAGAAATCTGCTGTCGAATTCGCTGTACCAACTACTGGAGTTTGTAAAAAGGGTTAGCACAAAGCATTTGTATGTTTATTTAAATAAAAATTATAATTTATACAAGACTTTTTAAACAAACAACATTTCCTTAAAAAATGTACAGGGCAAATCATTTCATTATCTCAATTTTTCATACAGTATAAGTCTTTTGTCAAACAAAAGTTACACTGATAATGAGTTATTTACAACTTCAAAATATAGACTCAAACTTCAGACATAAAAATTTTAACATCCATTATATTTCAATGATTAGTAGTAGAAATTAAACATCTGCCAAAATGTACAGAATTCAATAAAAACTACCAGTGTTCTTCATACAAGTTTAAGTAGCCAAAAAAAAAAAGTACATCCTGTCATCTCTTCAAGATTGGGTGAAATCTTGTTCTTCTTTGTCTGCAGGAACAACAGTGGGGTTTTGCTGCTGGCTTCCCGTTTGATGCTGCTACTTAGAAACAGCTTGTTTCATTCAATCTTGCCTCACAAAAGCTACAGTGTACGGAAAGGCATGATTTCATATTTCAGCTTTTTTTTTTCCTTCTGAATTTAAATGGTCACCAATAAGAAACTGAAGTAGTCAGTTTTCATCTCCCTTTTTTTCTTCCTTTAAAAGGGACTCAAACTAACCAATGCACTTCTATTAAAAGAAGTTAAATCCAACAGCAGCGAACCGCATACATCAACAGAACTGCAAATATTAACAGCAAACAGAATGACAAGAACATCACTTTCTGCCATTAGAAAGTAACACTCTACATTAAGTGGTACTACCCAGCCTGCTAATGAAGCAAAGCAGGTTACACTGCAAAGTTACGTAGGTCAATTGGAATTGAAGGTTAACTTGAGTGTAATTGTACAAATCAAGTATACACTTCCTCACTGTCCCACCCCTGCTGCCCTCCGAGCACCCGGGGATGCAGCAGAGGAACGAGCACAGGACTCGTCAGTAAACACACTGAGGGCACCTTGGAGCAGCAGTGATGTTCTGTAACGCACAGAGCAGCTACACAGCAGGAACCTGGACAACCTAATGTAAAGTGAGCTTTGCAAAATATGTACATAGACGTCTGTCTGTTATATTACAGCTCCCCCCAAAAAAATCCAGTCTGGTTTCTACACGTTCGAATGAACTGGTGTTGCATTGCAGTTTGCCCTAGGTTTACTGCTCAAGGAATTGCTCATTTTCAAATTCACACTGTTAAAGCGTGCATTGATTCTGAATGCCAACACATCAGATTTTGTAAAAAGTTTTTAATTTCTTTGTCCAGAAAGAAAATAAAATTAACAGTATATTGTACACAAGGCATTTCAGGCTGGGAGAAAGGATCATGACCTCTTTTCTCCTGCTCTGAAGCCTAGGTATAGTGAACCACCCTGGCACCACAAGCACAGGACCTACAGCTCCTTCAGGAACCAGAATCCAGGACAGCCCCATAAGCCAGGGTCAATCAGTGATGGGGGTGTGGGGGAAGTAACAAGTGTCAGTCAGCTGATTTCCTACTGAAACTGCTGTTATGATCAGTGAAGGTATAAATTACACTTGAAAAAATGATACAAAAATAAGAAAAAGAGCAGGCTCTTTGTAAAAAATATAGTTTTCTGTTTCTTCAAAAAAAAAAAAAAAAAAAAAACCCAAAAACCAATAGCTTTAAACATACCCAAGGGATTTCTTCCTTAAGACAAAATGGATGAATTTGGTTAAGATCTGTATAACATTAAGCGATTTTAATGCCTATTAGCCACACTCACTACTCAGGGAAGCTTCTAGGAAGGAAAATCAGATGATAATACAAAACAATTGCAAAAAGATTAATTGATTTTGAAGCAGGTCTGAAGAAGAAAATTAAGTTCAAGGAATTTAAACATAAAACCTGGGTATGTCAAGCGAAGAAACCATGAACTGCCAAGCTACACCCATGTTAGATGGTGGCAAAAAGGAAAGCCCACCCAGCCTCACTTACGTGTTAAGGTTTCAGGTCCTGATGTACACACATGGGCAGCACTAGAAATGCACCCTTTTCGTGGTTGCAAAGGTCAAGAGATCTCCAAAATGACATCCCAGCCCTTATGGATTCTCTCCTGCTCCTGTTCACAGTTCCATCCAGGGCATGGTGCTTTACCACAGTCAGTGTTTTACTTCACAACACCCAACCAAATCACAGTATTCAACAGTATTTCTTCATATCAGGTGCACTTCTTTGCATCATACCTCTTCACAGCCAGACTGAAATAGTTTCGTACAGTTTAACTGCCTCCTTCAGTACTGCTGCATTTAGTTACTTTAAGTAAAAACTGTGCTAAGTGTTAAAGATCCTTTGGTGTTTGGCTCTGCCACTCCTTCATTCTATCTGTTTCCCCATATAAAGAAAGAAAAATCCCTGTTAAAAAAAAATCTGTGAAACTAAGTCCTATTTTTTATATAAGAATTTGCATTCCCATTACTTTTCTGGGGTCCTCCATATAACACCTGGAGACATCGCACTACTCAACTCAAAAGACACAGAGAAGGAACAGACAAACTGGAAGGCTCAGTGTAACTCCTACTGTGCTTCAGGAAAAATGCAAATAGAATTCTAAACCTCTCAGATGGGTGCTATTGTATAGAATAAAAAAGCTTTCTGTTTAAAGTTGAAGATCAATATGTGCTTTGCTGCCAGAAAGGCCTGAGAGAGTTTAGAGAAGGAGCACAGCCTTCCTGTTTTACCTGGCAATTGGGTTTAACTGTTACTGAAATTTAATTTCACAAGTGGAAACACAGTGACATTGCAATGCCCCTCAAATGATGTTGTGAGAAGGAAATAGTGCTTTCAGTCGCTGTCTCATAGTGTTATTATAAGGTAACTCCAGAGAAAAGCCAAATTAAAAACCAGCCTGTTGCAGGTTAGTTTAACCACTCCCAGCTCCCCAACACAAAAAGCCCACAAGTCTTTTATGCAATAACATACAAACACCTTGTACATACAACATGTACAACAGTTGAGCCCTTCTATGACAACTATCTACAGAAATACAAATATATGATGCCTAACATTTTAGGAACAACGTTTTGATGCCCTCTTTTATAAAAAGTATCTGCCTGCCTTCCTTCCTCTTGCTTTGGTTAATCAGGAAAGGAAGATATAGCTAGAAATGTTTTCCTCCAATTCACTGTACAAACAATTTAAATCTCTGTAAGCAGAAAAAACTGACCCAACTGGTAAACAACCTTCTTCGATGCAAGATTTAGCAAGGAGGAGTTATGTTAAGTGCAGTTACAAATATGGAAATACTAAGATGATAATACTTCCTTGGTGTTGGCCACCAGTTTTAATATAGAACCCAATTTAAAACTTAAAGCTGAAGAAACAGACTTCAGGATATTGCAGTTGTCGTTCTCACATCTTGGGGAAAAAATAACTGAGATAACGGGTCCAACGTATCCCCAGTGATATAAGCACAGTTAAAAGGGATCAGTCTGTTTCAGACCATTACTCAGTCACTTCTTCTAGTGTCTTTTGAGCTGCTCATATCAGTAAATAAACATTAAAAGTGCTTAATGTACAAGGCTAATAGTGATGATAGCACTTCCACCGTTTTGCTTCATTTTGTTGTTGGTGTTTTTTTTTTTTGTGGGTTTTTTACAATTTTTTTTTTTTTACAAAAACCTTAAAAACAAACATGAAGGCATATATAAAATACACTTGATTTATGTAACAGATAGAATATAAACCACCAGACAAGAAAAATTATTGCAAAATAGATGAGGATGTTCATTATTTTTTTTTCACTACCAAATTGCAAAATAAGAAAGTTTCCTTTATGTTTTCTAAGATCAGATACTAGCTCTCACTGTTCGATGATGCAGAGGTTATTTTCACATACTGGTTGAAAATCGTCTCAAAAGCTTCATCTCTGTGTACCATAGCACCAAACACCAAAGGCTAAATGACAGGGAAAGAAAGAAAAGATCACGTCAGTCTGGAATAAGAAAACTCTTCCTTTAGGTACTTTATGGTTCTGGCCATATCATTAGGAGCAGGACTGTACTCAAAGTACATTAATAAAGAGCAAGAATCCTTTTCTCTACTAAATCCTTGGATATATGCCCAAGTTTCCAATGTGTCTCCATCTCCATCTTGTCTTTATAAAACAACCACAGCATAAAGCACAGAGAACAGGCAACCGAGGGCATTTTAACTCGCTCATGAAGTGCATGAAGTTTTCCTGATGATACTTAACTGTTTAGTACAATAAGGTTTGAACAGGAAAACTAAACCCACCCCAAAACATGCCATACAGCAGATCATTCCTCACCCAAAGATACTGTCAAGCCATCGACTTTTATTCTCTGACTGTTGCACTGCCTATCACCCCTTACGCTCTCAAAGGATGCTGAGAGAGCAGTCAATTGAGGTAATGAAAGAAAGGAGCTGCAAGGATGAAGCAAATCTGTCTGAAGTGTTACAGTAAAGTAGTCAGATGCAGTAAAACAGGTTGAATGTTTAATTCATTAAAATTCTGAAAGAAACATGCTGAATTATGTACAAGCGAATTAGAGAAAGAAGCAAAACACTAGCAAGAGGAAAAAGAAAAACCCTTTTTGCTATCGCTTGCCAGAGAAAGATGTCAAAAAGGGCATGAAGGCAAACAGACAACACAGGCAGAGCCAGCTACTTACTTTTTGTGTAGATGGTGTTGATACGGCAATACCCATCCCTGATCCCGGGAGAACAGAGAGCACTTTATACTGGAAGAGCAAGCACAGACCTAAGGTATCTTAGATGTACCGAACAATTGTAAGAAGTGCTGAGGAGGTTATGCAGCTCATCAGAGGTAGACCCTTCCAGCCACAACTAACAGGCCTGTGTTAAAATCAGCACAGGCCAGACACTTCTTGCTGGCCCCGAAATAAACCAGCACAGCTCTGCCCACGCAGCAAGCACCTGCCCCATGTTGTGCTACCTGCCCACCCCAATGGTCCCCAGCCCAGCACTGCTACTGGGAGCTGCCACAGCTTCCCCTGCCAGGGTCCAGTCAGCAGCTTCACACTAAGGGATATCAGTGGTCACTGATCAGGCGTGCACCCTGCTCTTCTGCAGTACCTCAGTGTGCCTGTGTGCTCATATATATTGTTTACATATATATACACGTGCATAAATTTAAGCAGGCAGAAGAGGTGTGCAAGTGCCTAGAGTTTAAGGGTTTCCCTAGAATTAATAATATTCACTGATAGTTTAAAGCAGCAGGAAATAGACAAAAAAAACCTAATTTTCAAAATTAAGTAGATCAACAGAATATGTACAGTTGGGCTTTTTAAAGAAAGTCTGCAAGGCTATGCAGAAATACTGCTGGCTGAGCTAGAGAATATCCTAAATATAGAAGGAGCCTGAGCCTGCCCTGTTTTCACCCACCCACAAATAAAACAAGGCCCACTGTGCTTTTATGCTTGGCTGCACAATCTCTGTCTCATCTTCATCAAGAAGCTACACTGATACAAAAGGACTTCCATGGCAGTAAAGACCAACTAAATAAGCCAGTGCTGCTTCAAGTATGGTGTTTAAAATACATCAGTATGAATTATTAATTTCAATGAGAAGTTCGAGCTGAGCTCGAGTCATCTGCCTAAATAGACATGCGATGTGAATGGAAAGAATTCATTTGCAAATCTAGAGGTACCCAAACTACAGACACCAGACTGACTTCTTTCTCTGTGTGTTATAATTTGTGGCTCTCGTGGCCACAGGATATAGCAAAAAGTAGGGGTGCCTGTATTTAAGAGAGAGACAATTTAAAAGAGGTAACAAGAAGTGATACTAAACATCATACAGCGTGATGCTAGGCACAGAATGCAGCCACTGGTGACAGCAGGCTCAACCAGAAGATTACACTGTACTTGCCAGGCTTCTAACCATCCACTTTTCACTCTCTTAGTATGGATTCCATCTAGACAAAATTCCAGTCCAATTCAGTAATGCTACTCTAATGCTTTATCCTTCTTCACTGTCAGTAATCCCTCTTTCCTCCAAGGCATCTACATTTAAGATGGTGGATATTCTGACATCAACCCTCTAATTTAAATTAAGGTCACACAATTCTTGCTAACAAAAAAATCTTCTTAAAGCCTAAGCAGATCCAGTCAATACAGGAGAAACAACATAATTTTAATTCAAAAATAATTCAGGAATCTAAGAGAGAATGTAAACATGTACGCTCCCAGTGAGTTTGCATGTGGTTACTCTAAACAACTGAACAAATATTCCTGCTCAAAGAACGGTCTCAGTTACATAAACGATCAATGTCATCTTCCCCTCCTCCCCCAAAATCCCAAATCACCATAAGCAGAAAATCAAGACATAACTAACAGAACAGAAAATCAACTTTTTTCTCTATGTGCAACACAAAAAAGACATACCTTCTGAATATCTGTTATATCCGTTAGCTTTATAACTTTATTTCTTTTAGATGAGCCTGATTTGGAACTTTCAAAGCACAAGTAACTGAAGACAAGAAAAGAAAATGCTCATTTTGACACAGTATTCTAAAACAAAATTCAATTGATTTGAATTCAATTAATTCAGTTACAACTTTCGATTCAGAACAAACATTCATGAAATGCTAGCAACTGGCTAACACGTCGGAAAGCCAGGAACACACAGCAAGTACAGACCAAAAAAACATTGTTTTTATATTACTGCACTTATGGGGAAACCCAACAAGCACTTTAAAAATACAGGAAGCAAGTAAAGACTTAAACAGTTGAAATATTGTATCTCAAAAAGCTTGTAAGTCTTTTACCCTCCCCTAAAAAAGGACCTAATGGAAAATTACTGTGTTAATTTCATGTTATTGTGATGCAGACAAAAGCTCAAATTTTTAAACGCTACAGATTCCAAACACTCTCCATCACTGGGTGACACTGCATATGGATTAGCTTTCCTTCCATTCATTACACTCCAAAGGAATTTCAGTGCAAGAGCCAAACGGTAGTGACACTCATTTCAGCACAGGGGAGGAAGAAAAAGGAAGTAAAAACTAAAAACAAGAACAAAAAAAACAGCAACACAAAAAATCAATTACTAGTTTTGAAATCAAGGCTTGAGTTTCTTTGGTTTGCTGGCTTGGTTGCACATTGCTTCAAGGAAGCATTCTTTAAAAATGAAACTTAAGAATAATTGTCACATAACCGTTAATCACAGCTCCCAAAATACATCAGCTGTTAGGTTTCTTTTTTTTTTTTGACATACACACATAGAGAGTGTATGTTATCCTTATCAAGGATTGCAGCTACTAACAACTGGCTATAGAGCTGCTCTCCATTCCCACACAAGCCTTCCCAAGACAAAACCAGGCTTGTTAAGCTTTACTACACCCCAGATTTTGATCTCGCTCTCCTATCATGCTTTGAGGTTTTAAAGCACCATGAAAAGGCACTTTATATCCACTTATAAGAAGAGTGTTGTTTCAAAATATTGTCAAAGGATCACTTTCAGATTCTTTTTTTTTAATGTCTGCTGCATTTTCCTCCTAAGAAATGTGTCAATTTTAATGACTCACTTTTCCGTGACGTAAAGAATTCCATTTCTGATGTAGTCTGTAGGCATCTTCCTATCTCTATTGATCAAGCAACAACGCCAGCCATTTTCACACACTAAACAAAAAATCACAGGAAGAAATCTCACTTCGGGAAAGAGAGAAACAGCAATTCCCTTATAAAAGGGCAGAACTGAAAATTCACCTTTAGATACTGAAAACAAGAAGTGTTTGCATAGCAAAACCTAGAGAGGGTGTTTCTAGGCATCATAACAACTGTTTTAACACTGATCTATTTTTTTTTAAGTTAAGAACAAAGGTCCAACCCATAAACACAATTATTTACTTTAACATTTGCACTACAACAAAAGACATGACCTGCTGTTGATTCCTGCAAACAATTGTAAAGACATAGAATGAAAGAGACCACCACTATTCATCGTAATTTAAAGCAGGTATTTTAAATCAAAAACTTCTATTTACACATTACACAGAGGGAGAATTCAGCTTTAAGCTATCTTTGGCTTTTCAGAATGTATTCCACTAATGTTGCAATACCTGCCAAAGGACGCTCATTTTCTGACAGGTTAAAAACTTCATGGAAATTCCCCCTCTTAGTGCTATGGAAGCGACTCGTGTCTTCATCTTTGTTTATTCCAGTTGGGGCACTTGAGCCCACGTAACTTCTGGATGCTGCTGTTTGAAGCTGAAAAAGCAAGAAACATATTCCAAAATTTGAACAGCAACATTTTGGAACTGCGCTCTCAAAAGCCTGGCTAGCTATTCTTCCTCAAGGAAAGGCAGGACAACAATTTTCATTAACTACTTCAACGAAGTTGCTGCTGCTGCACCATACTACTTCTATATCACAAGGCTGCGAGTTTCTACCTGCAGACAGCCTTGCAAAGTGCTACACTTTGAAGGGCAGCCTCTACAGAAATGAAAGTACATGGTGCTAGATATTCCTGTCTTAAAATATCATTTCTTTACAGTAAAAGGCTATATCTGATTAGATACAGCTAGGCCACTGCACACAATTCCAAATTAACTGCGCTACTCGGACTAATTATAAGTTAACATAATTTCACTATTTAGTTTGTCTTCAAGAGACAGGCCAGGATATTTTTGCACAAACTAAGGTTATAAAGAAAAAAAAAAGCAAACAAAAAAGTCACACGAAACTGCAGAAGCTCATTAGGAATACAAATGCTGAAATTGAAGGGGAGTTTTCCACGCTACGATCCATACCTTTTCATGCCCTGACAGCTAGCAGGAAAAGAAACAAACAACACAAATGTGACAGTGACAAAAGAAAAAAGTGAAGTCTATGTAACAGCATATTAGATAGAATAAAACATGAACTGAGTGAAGCTGCAAGATCTTGCTCACACACCAAAAGACTACACACGACAAATGCAATTAAAAATGAGAGTTAGCAGTGGTTAGAGCACACCAGTTCAATTTATTCAGGTTGTGTTAGAGTCATTGATCTTTGCTTTCCTTTGAAGTTGCACTGAATTTTGAGCGTTGACATGTGAAATAAAACCAGAATGGCAGTCAGTATCCTTGGGAAGGGGGTGGGGTGGCTGGGAAGTAGCACGGCGTTCTTAAAGTTGAATTACTTCAGTAAAATCTTCTTTTCAGCAGGGCTCCTGAACCACTGTAGCCCTAATAAAACAGCCTTGCTTCTGGAACGACAGCAGGCAGCTAATTTCCAAAAGCTTCCCTCCATTTGCTTTGTTCATCTTGCTAGTGTACCACACAATTCTAAAGGCTGGCTTTTGTCACAAAAGCAGGAACAGCTCCATTCTTAGTCCTACTGCAGACATGCAGTTAAACAACTGGCAAAGTGACAGCGTGCAAGCCTGGGACTAAGCCCTTCTCCTGCAGCAGCCCAATGCCATGGGAAGCTGACTAGCCTCAGCTGCTTTCTGAGTTTCAGTTGGCAGCACTCAACACTTCACAGGATTTAGCTTAACAAAAGCAAATGAAAAGTGTGCATTGCATTCACCGACTATAAAATCAGACTTGACAAAACAGTTATGCACAACAGAGTGTATTTACCATCCAGCTTTTAGGGTAACCGTAATACAACGATGCCTCAGGGGAAAAGAATAAAGAAAGTTGAGATTGAAAGCAAATGTTTGACAATAATTGTACTATTGCTTCAGTTACTGCCTTTCTGCTGTGCCCTTAGCAATGATAAAGCCCCTGCAACCAAGGAATTCTTTCTTTGTGAATAAAGACCAGATGAGATTCTGGAAGGCACCCTTTGACAAGTTATTTGGCTCTACACGTGCGTAACCAGGTGAAGCTCCATGGTCCGAGACATACAAAAGGTCAGGAAAAGAGACCTAATGATTTTTGCTCTGAAATAAAGATTATCCCTGCTCTGTGCTGCACAGCTTCCTACCTAACCATTACACGGAGAAAAAAAAAGTGGCCGGGCTTCAATGCCATACTGCCCTTTCCTTGCATCCTCCCTAAAAGAGGCACATGTTTCCACTACCCTTAAAGCAACCAGCTCGTTTAAGTATAACCTCTCAGGCTATGAGGCAATGAGACAATGAAGGGTCCTTTACTAAAAGAATTTTGGTAAGCTTAAATATAACTGGAAGGTGTTAGATTTGTAATACTGGTGGAATCCTGCCTGGCTAGAATTGTCATCAACAGTCTGGAAGCAGGCAAGCAGTATTCCTTGTTGGTTCCACTTGATCTGTCATCAGCTTTTGACATACAACCTGTACCCATCAGATACTGTTATCAAGACTATTCTCTGAGGACATGGGGCCAGGGTGGTACAGTTGATGAATATTGCAAGGTGTCTAAGTTTACTGTGTCTTGTACACCATTTAAGGATAAAAAGCCAAGGCAAATGCACATATAATGTAATATATGCTTTTGTGCTTTCTCTTTTGTATGAAAAAAAAAAAAAAGAAGAAAAGAAAAACCACAACTATTTTTATTCTACAATTTTCCCAGAAATCTCCCAAGGGGTGAGAAAGTTTGTCTAAAATTAATGAAATTACTGAGATCAAGTTAATGCTTTTGAAGACATTTTGAGGAAAATAATGCTGTCCCACAATTAATTTCCAAGATGAAAAACCAACTCTATGAAGTCAGTCTCAAAAGCCTGGTCAACTTGTCAAAACTTAAGCCATAAAGGAGAAGCAGAAAGGACAGTTATTCTTTAAGTTTATGGATTCAGATTCAGCTCCTTAGAGCCTTTCTATCCCTAAGGTAGATTACACAATCTTCAGAGCAAGTGAATGATAACTTGTAAGCTCTAGGGATACAAGAAGTTTTAAATCCATCTTTTGCAAGCAACAGAAACAGCAGCTACAGATGACAGAATCTACAGCCCTGCCTAACCTCTTGATCATTTCTCTCATCAGACAGAAGATACAAACAGAAGATTCAATTTCAGTCAGATTTTCTCTCTCTTCTACTTTCTTCCGAAAAACTCAGCTTATGTTGCACTTATCATTTTGCCACCTTCTATTCAACTTCCCCCAGGCCCCAGACTTCTTCCTGACAGGTTAACCACAGGTTACAGTTTACCCCTGTTGCTCCCCAATTGCATGCCCAGCCTGAGTTACTGCTAAGTGTTCCACATTTTAGCCAGGAACTTTATGAGAATACTCAGAAACCCCATGATGCAATTTCTGTAGTAAGAGGCATTAAGCCAACACTAAGATGGGATTAGACTACGGCCTATGAGACTTTAACAAAAGAAAAATCTACTGTGAAGAGTACCAACATGGTGAAAAATCATTTATCATCACTATGCTAAAAGGTTGTCTAATACAAATAACTTTTAGACATAATATCTATGTCTCTAAGCTACTAATTCCATTAACATGTATCCCATTAGCAAGCTATGTATTTACTCTTTTCTTCCTGTTCTTCACGCAAGCAGCCGAATCTCCACTAAAAAATATCTGAGAACAGAGAAAGGCAACACAAGACTGAATTTTGACTATAAAAAAAAAAAATCACACAGAATGTATGTTACAGAAATAGTAATAGGAATGAATATGGATGGCATTATTTTTGTGTATTTAGCTTCATGTGATTGCCATTATTCTTGTGTGCATATACGCACACTTTGATACTGGATTAATTTCTTACAAGAAACGAAGTCAATATGAAAACACGATGAATCTTCAACATAATTATAAAAATTGAACTAATAATAATTGTTAAGTTTAAATTGATCTTCCTCTTAATTGTGCTCTAGCCACTGGGGAAAAGTGGAAGGGAGAAAGGTATCTGATTTTAAGATGTTGGGGACAGAGGTACAAAATGATTTATTATCCTTACTCGTCTCGACACTGTAGCATTAGATCTTTCTTTGAGTTGAGGATCTGTTGGGAGACTTGTCCAGATGATATAAGGAGTATCATACTTAGCTCTTAGTCTGGGGCATCGTTTGAAGATGAAATCAATAAGGAAAAACTTGATTCCAGCATAGAGTCCTGAAAAAAATAAATCACTATGGTATGCATTCGTAAAGGCACTGAGAAAATCACAGTTTTGACCATGTTTGAACAAGTTCATGAAGGAAACCAAATTATTTAAGTCTCCTCATTCACAGTGCTAAACCAGTCCTTGGTGCTACTTGAGTCTTCTTACAATGGCAGCAAAACCTTTTTCCCCTTCCTCACCCACAGATCTCTCCCCTTCCCAGGTTTTTACAAACACAAAGTTTCTTACTATGTAGAAGAACATTGAAATAATTCAAACATACAAAGTTTATTACCAAAAACATCTTGAAAACATAATATACTTCCAGAATAGAAAACATGTCAGAGCACTAAGCTCTACAGTTACTTGCAAAAATTTATACGGCAACAGAGGGCTCTCACGTACTGCATTAACCTCTATCTTGCAGTACAGCATGTCTTACCTTACCTTCTGTGACAGAAGGTACCCTCGTGCACTCTGACAGATTAAAAAGGGCTTGAAATACTCTCTTAAGACTTCAGTGAATGAAATTCAGATCTCCTAAGAGTCAGAGCAATAAAATAATACCTCACACTTATAATTCAATAGCTGTATCAAGCAAATCCATATATATGTTTAGGTTAACAGGGTTTAAAGGTTTGAAGTTCAGCTCCACTGAAGCTAATACTCTTCCGATCATCTCATTACCTCAAGAAAAAGACCATAAAATCAAAGATCTTGGTTCACACTCATATCTTGTCATTTTCTATTCATACCAGTTTTCCCAACCCTACCATCCTCAAGCCTTCTGTGTGTGTTTCACGTACAAGGAAGTATGAGCAAAAAAAACCAAAATACAAGATTTCTTGTAAGTCTTGGAGCTGACAGTCTGAAAATCTCTCCTAAAAGCTCATCACAGACTTCCCCACTTTAAGGACTAAATGTATTCTCCAGTCTTTGTCTATTAGATTATGTATTCAGATGTGGTTTTCAGAAATGCATGCAACAAACAATGCCAAGCTCAGTGAAGACACTTTAAAACACTGCATTATTTATTAATGTAGGGTATTCTTTCTTACACTCCAAAATTCCCTCTCTGAAGATCATGCTAAATTTTAAAGCATTAAGTCTAGACTTTAATAGGTCAATTATTTAATGTGTTTACCCATTGCAAGTCCAATAATCCTGTAGGGCAAAAAGCAGGATGCAATAAAAGCTGCCCATAGAACGATGTAGAGCTTCTGTGTTATTTCTGGTTGGACCCACATGAACAAGCTGAAAACAAATAAAACCAAAACTGTATTACCACGCTTTCCAGATGTTGTCTTTATTTAAAAAGGACAAAAAAAAAAAAAAATTAACTTATATAACTTACTTTTTAATTTTTTCCAGTATGTCTGCCATCTTCCCAAAAAGATTCTGCATAAGAAGCAAGAGAATTAAATCCAATTCTTGTGTTACTTTGGAGGGTTTTTGTCCACGTATTAGAAACCAACAAAGTTATCTTACAGAATAAGCAATCCCTGAAAGTGATTTTTTAAAAAATCATTTTTTAGCCATTTACAGACTTCACAATTGAATAAATACAGCACTGAACAGCAACATTCAACGACTTCTAATTTAACACCTTGTTCTTCAATTCAAATTTGGTTATTAGAAGTGAAGGAAAGAAGTTTTTCAAACTCACTGTTATGACTGGAAAGTGTTTGTATCACTGCAAAAAATTTAAATTGCCAGAATTTGGAAGCTAGGAGCTTCTGTCAGTTGGTAACAAAATGGAAACTTGGTTGAATCATTAGAGCACCGAAATTTTAGGCAGTGCTTACTGAGATTGTCAAATGTTGGGCTACTCGCTTGTTTTAATGGGATTTGTATGATATACCCTAGAAGATTCCATATAATTCTTACAGATACAAATAGACCACTTCTCTGGATTAACAGTGTTATTCAGCAACCTTCTCTAACTGATCCTTGCTGTCACAATACCTGTAAATTTCATCTTCCAAACAAACTTTGAGATGCATTCATATAAACATAAGAGAAACATGGTTATTTACTGCCATGAAAAAGAAAGAACCAACAAACTCATACTACTGCTACCAATGGGACAATCAGTGAAGACTACACTGATGACTTGGCACGCTCCTACCCAAGGCTAACAATGGCTCACTGCCACAGTCAGCTCCCTCCCTGCTCTCAGCCATGTGCCTCCACTTGAAGAAGAATGGAGTTTCACTTTTTATCAGATTCATTTACACGGACACCATGAACAAGGGGTCAGGTATGAACCACAGCCAGCAGAAGGAAGAGTATAGGACTACACAGCTGGCAACAGAAAGGTAAGCTACTTTGAGTGGCTGCACATCATTAGACAGGGCACAAAGCTGCAGTTCAACTCTATGGTTGACTCAATGAACTACCAGTGTAGCTAACCAAAATGACATAGCTGAGAGAAAGTCTTCCCTCATCTTTTGCCACACAAACAGATTTCAGGCTAAGGTGGTGGTGTTTAAAAACCAGACTGTTCTGGTGACAGCTGTTAACTAACACATCTAAACATGCAGCAACCTTCACCTTAAAACTTGAAGGGATAAAGTCTCAAACTAATTTTGTGACTAGCACATTTGTGGTATGGACCTATGTTCCAGTACTTTTCTAAGATTCACTGCCTGGTCTACATTTTCAGAAACTTGACTGCATACTGTAGGGAAAAAAAGAGTCAGAAATGATTTCTTTTCCCCTTTGGACTTTGTTCTGAATCATGACTTGGAGAACGCCAACCAGTTCTCCAAAGCATTTGGCCATTTCAGAAGCTCCAGGCATCTTATTGGTAGTTCTATTGCTTGTAAGTAAAGAATGTGAGAAAAGTATTGTTTAAGCACTTGTTTTCACACCATCTGTAACAAGCTGTGTAGGTGCTCTGACCACTTCAGAACGAACCTTTTTGTTTTAGGGAAGAAGCCAAAGAGATGAGAGTAGCACAGTACCTGCGCCTTCTGAGCCACATCTAGAACAAGCTGAAACTTTTCAGACACCGTCAGATCCTCTTTTGGAGGTTCCTTGAGCAAGAAAGAGAGATAACTGATTAATTTTTGTCTCAGATGGAAGTGACATTTTACAAAACTCCTCACAACAATGCGACTCCTCCACATTCTTGAAAACAATAGTTTCACTTTAAACAATCTCTCAATGTAGCAAGTTCCTCCCTTGTTTTAGATCTACAGAATATATTTTTCACTGATGGTTATCTTCAGCTATGAATGCTTTTCCTCCATGGCATATACAAATATGAGTCATACGAGACTGTAGACAAAAGACAATATGTCTTTGAAGAAATGCAGTTACAATGGCTTGCAGTCTATGCCACAGACCTAGAGTGACCTATTTCTGGTCTAGCAAGGAAATGTCATTTTTAGAAATTTTGCAACTTTTTTTTTCACTAGATTACTGATCTTTTAACAGTATTGGTAAGTCTCAGAGCACAATTTGAAATTCAAAGAACTCCATCTTATATTAGTACTTCAAACAAAAAAAAACATGTAAAGTTAGATGGCAATTCAGGTTAGAAGGGACCTTAAGAGGTCACCTAGTCCAACTTACTGCTTAAAGTAGGTTCACAAGAAATAATTATAATTCATTACAAACAAAACACAACATAAGGCTTCTTTTTAAGTTCCCAGAGGGTCTACCTTGGCCCCAGTTATTACATAAAAGTTTATTCCAGAAATTTCAATCAAATTCAGAACATTTTATGAAGCACCCAAATCTAAGAGCACTATTAGTTTCTAAGTGGCAAGAGAAAGAAGTTGTTACATCTTTATCTACACCTTATTCTTCTTTCCTGTCTCAACTACTCACACACGTAGAAAGATTGTGAAAGTGCAGCTTTTAACATAGTCGCACAGACCAAACTGATCAAAGACTTACCACAGGTTCAGAAACTTCAGGCACAATACTCCACTGTATTCTCCAACCCCTAGAAGTTACGGAAATAGTTAAAGAGAGCAAGTATTTCTTTTCCATCTGCCAACATGGATTGGCTCTAAGAGGCTGAAAAGCAGTTTTCTGCAGTAAGTAAAATGGCTTTTAAAAAAAAAACACTCAAAAACCAACAAGGAGCCTACAACATGACAAAAGTAGAAGTAGCCAACCACAAGTGGCTTTAAATGCATATATATATATATATATTTAACAATATTAGCTAAGTAGATACTGCATGGAATCAGGTACACTGCTTGTGGATTTTATGATAAAAGTGGACTGGGTGCACAGAACAGATAATGAGGATTTTTTTGTGAGTGAACGAATTGCATAAACATATTCAGGAGCCTATTTGGTCTCGTTAATTTTCAAAGAATGGAGCATCAGACTGCAAGTATTAAGCAAGAAATTAGAAAATGATTTTGTAAGACACACACTGAAAGGTCCCCATCTCAATTTTAAGGGGAAAAAAATCATAAGCTTGTAATAGCATTTTAAAAGATATTCTCAGCACAGAAAGAAGAAAAAAGGATTTTTTAAGAAGCCCTAATTTTTAATAGAGACCAAGTATACAAATGGAAGACTCTGGATATAAGAGCCAAAGAAAAAGAATAGATTGCAATTTAGATGTAGGTGAAAATTCTCTCTAGGAAGCTGCAGGCTTCAATATGTAAGGTGATATTCGAGATATTCTTCAATATGTAAGGTGATATTTGAGATATTCTTCAATATGTAAGGTGATACTCTGAATACTGCAGGGTATTTTTATTTTTGATTCTTTAAGTATTAAGAGGTTTGTCTGAGAACACGCAGTCTCATTTATGATGACCCAAGCCGTGGCAAATAAAGATAATTCCTAAGTGCATTCAAAGATTATAGAATTAAGCAATGAAATCATAGATACTGGAGTTTGAATTCTAGCTTGTAAACTTAATTCACAATGTTAGAAAAAGTAACAGTTTACAAATCAATACAAGAACAAAAAACCCCCATTCAAGCGAAGTGTTACAAGAAAATAATCTAGTATTTAAGTACATACATACCTGGCTATGAGGTAATTTAGGGACAACCTCAAAATTGCTAAAAATAGGAACATAGGAATGGCCCAGCCATGCCATACAGCATTCATGTAAATCTGCAGATTGTGAAGGAAAAGAAAAAAAGACACAGATTACAAACTTAGGTACAGTGAGTCACTCACATTTTCCCACGGTACTGCCGGGTTCAGGAGAATACAACTCAGATCATGAATATTAATGAATTTTAGCCACTCCAGGATTGACAACAGCAATGCATTGATGAATGTAAAGCTGAAACTATAAGACTGAACCAAATCTCCAGAGATAACATTTAAATAGCTCTCAGCTGCACAAGATCGACTATTTCCAAGGTTGCAATTATGTGAAGATGTGGGGGAAAAAAAATAATCATAAATCTTCAAGTCTGAATCTACTACATAAACATGATATGGTCTAATATCTTATAAAATCTGTAGAGTTGGAAGGGACCTTTAGAAGTCATTTAGTTCAACTCCCCTCACTGAACAGGGACACCACAGCTAGATCAGGTTGCCTAGAACCTTGTTCAGCATGGCCTTGAATGTCTTCAAGGCCAGGGATGAGCTGGACCAGGCTAGGTCAGTGAAAGAAACACTGTAGAAGAGGAAGAGCTTGGACAGTTATACCCTCACAGGGCATCAGGACAACTCACTGTTTTATTTCAGATCAATCAAATGTCAAACTTCAGTGGTGAGGAAGTCTCCTCCTCAGTATTCTTTCAGCTGTGCAGTGCAAAGTATCATTCAACAAGGCTCTATAACTTACAGAGGTGGATCATTTAATGGAAAAGTGTGTAGCATTTTCACCAAAAAGATTAATTCTGATGAAGTCAGTTAGAATTACTGTTCATAATTTCCTCTGACATTCTAAATATTGTGCCTACAGCACAACCAAAGGAATTTAGATCATTTCATTAACACGTAGAATAAAAAAGAACAAATCAAAACTCCACTAAATAGTTATGTCACAGCAGCATGCAAACTTTCTTACACTGCTCTATGGGAACACTTAAATTTAGCTCATGGGAACACTCAAATTTAGTTCACAGATCTCATGTTGGCACATTAAATGAAACTAAAATCAGGGCACTTTGTCTCTCATCACTAAGTGTGACTCTAATCAATAGAAAAGAACACTGATGGTGAAAGATATCTTCCTATCAAGTATAGCCTCTCTCAGCCTTTCAGCTCCAGAAAAAGAGAGATTTTGCAGAGGCTGCAGTAACCATCATCAATTCACTGACCAGGGAGACAGGAAGCAAAGAACATGAGAACAATGTCCATATTGTTCCAAATTATTTTAACAATTACAAAACAAATTTGGAATGTACAACTGAAATGGCTCTGAAATTTAACTTAAATGGCAACTACACCGTATCTTTTGTTAACTGCAATCCTACTATTCGACTTGACTTCAACGTAATCCCTCTGAATATATGGCAGTTTCAATGAATTTCCATAAATAATATATTTTAAAAGAAGTTCTTACAACTTCTGGAGGAATAGCATAACTTACAATAAAGGCAATAGCAGAAGTGTAGATAGAATACCAGTCTGATAAGGCAGAAAGGTTCTTCACAAAATTAGTAACAGGTTTGGCACCTCTCTCTAAACAGAGCAGAGAAAGAACACAATTATTAGAATTAGCAGACAGTGGGGTTAAGTCACTTGTAAACATCAAACAACAAAATCACAAAGTTAGTAAGAACACTCAAGGCATGTAAATATAAAAAAGCCATATCAAAATTAAGGAAAATTAAAATGTAGAGACCCATCAACGTAACAACAACCAGTTCAGTAATGCATTTTCGAAAACTGAATTGTTATTCAAGATAAAAGTTATATCTAAACTCTTAAGTGCACATCAAATAAATAAATCAAGATTTGCATTATTTTTAGAAGGGTAACTCGGATGCCTACAGCAGTCTGTCCCGAGCTCTGTTCACACTGCTCCAAAGAACTCAGCATAGGTCAGCCCACTGTACTGTAAAACAAGCTAAACTAGCCTGACTGGACTCCAAGCCACCAAGGAGCAATTCACTGTTACTTCAAAAAAGCTGACCTCAAACCAAGCTACATATCTCTTGGCTGCACTTCTGCTGCAGTCAAACTGTTAGCAGGACTTGGCTGCTTACTCTTTCTAAGGCACAGCACAAGACTTCGCTGCCTGTCTCTCAGCTCTGCAGACCTTTGCTCTTGCTGAGTGACAAATCTGTACAGGGAAGGGCACTGCTCCCATCTGCAGACACACTCAGCCAGGCAGCAGCAGCAAAAGCAGCTCTTTTTCAACTCCCTAAAATACACTTGTCCTTCACTCTTCCTATTCCTATATGCTTTTTTACCACTTAGCTAAGCAACACAGCAAAACAGGAAGGGGCTGTTGCAAGAAGATCTTTGCTTTTTCTATTGAAAAACACTGCTTTTGCCTCTCCTACTGATAAGAGTAAATATTCTTGGAAAGGGGAGCCCAGAGGTACCCACCCTTGTTTGCAGCACAGCTCACAGCTTTGAAAGGCTGTCCTCAAGAGAGCCTGCAACTTGCTGTCCTAGTTTGTTCGGCTTGAAATTCAGCTAGCCTTGGTGCATTCCCTATGGGAAGTGATTAAACAGCCAGATTTCCTTGAGCGTCAGTGACGTAAACAAAGCCGTGGATGAAACAAGTGGATGGGCAGACTCGAGGCTTCAGACAAGGCACTGACTTGAGCAATGCTTCCAGCAGTTCCTCCCATCTGCTCTGTTTCACCATCCCATACCAAATCTGCAGGGAAGGTCACCACTTGGAAAGCACTGCTGATGGAAAGGCCCTTGAGAGCTGCAGGTGGCAATCAGGCACCCCTGAACAACAGGCACCTCTGAGAACCACTCAAAGCATAAGCTCAGTACTCTTTTTTAAACTACTCAAAAGGCAAAGCACATTCACTACAGGGAACATCACAGGTATGCTCCCAAAGTACTGGTATTGATTCTAAGGATAATAACATCACAATTATACTGAGATTAAAGACCCTTATGCGCCTCCCATCGACAATACTATAAAGATTTGAGGCACAAAACAGCCTTTTTTTTTCAAGCTGTAGCGATTCTTGGTTGTACAGAACTTCTAGAGGGTTTAACTACTTAGTTTAACCTGCCACCACCCATTCTTCACCTTCCAAAATACCTCACTAAGAGAAAAAAATTCAAGACCCACTCACAGACTAACCTATCCTCTTTTGAAAGCATAAGCTAAAAGCCCAGCAAGCAAACTGCAAGGAGTTTGGGAAAAAGTATGTGGGCAGCTCAGGAATAAGCATCTTGCCACTGTAGAAATAACCTGTTCTCACTTGTTATGTGCTTTCACATTTTAATTAGCACTACATTTTTACCACTGAGATACTCTGTGCAATGCTAGATTTAAGGCAAGCTCCTACCACTGTTCATTTAAGTTACTTTGCACTCCAAGCACTAATGTAGGATTTCAGAACCATTCCTGCTTTTGAACAGGCAGAAGTATTTCTGAACTTCATACGTTGTATGCAGCAGTCCTCGCAATAAAATCAGTAAGAACTACATGCAGAAATTGAAGTACTTTTAATACTTACTTAATCTTCTCATATTTTCAGTCAACCTGAAAAAAATCAATAACAGAAACTTGTTAAAAAGACAACAAGTGAATTATATTGAAATACAGTCATGCTCCCCTGGTCTCTGGAAAACTGCTCACAGTTATAAATCAAACGTTTGTACATCTAGCTTCATTCTTGCCTCTTATGAAATGTGCTTCTAGTAATATAGGCTATCTTGCATCAAATCAAAAATTGAAATGTAGAAGCTCTGCAGCCTAACTAAGCCTTAGCCCACATTTTGAGAAGTGCATGGCAGAGCCTGCTAAACAATTCTTCTACCTCAGGTTGCAGATAGAGTTTTGTGTTTCATCCAAGGTACTCACAAACCATTTGAGATAGCCTTAGTTTAATTACTCCTGATACAAACACTTGCTCATATCATCTAAAAGGTGCTGATTTTTGGTCTTTGAAGAGAAGCAACTTGTGAAAAACCAACAATTCCTTTCAATCACGTTGGAGATTTACCTTCTAGCACTAAGTGGCTCCTCTGTTTCCACTGTGTTCTCCTCTGGTTGAAATCTGAAGTCCTCAACATACTCCCCAAATTTGTCACAAAACCACTTCTGGAGTCTTGAACATACAGTGTGACTACGTTTATCTACAAAAAAAAGAAGCACTCTGTATCAGGATATTACTAGAAAACATCTTTGTATAAAACCTCATGTGTTCCGTATGCTGTTTTTGGTAAGATAGTATTCTTTGTAACAGCATTTCTGTCTTTCAGTAACATTTCTCCTGGAAGTTCACTATGTGATTTAGCTCTGCCATTTCACAGAAACAGAGACTATGCCATGCTTGTAAAGATGACTGAAGAAGATTCCTGCATCCAGCACAAGTTTTGCTGTAAGTACAGCACATGGGAACACCTCACTATACAACTACAGAAATTACTGAAACACTCTTAACAGATGAGAATTTTTAGCAAACACTAACAAACTTTTTGCTGTGTTCTGTTAACAAAGGTCTGACCCAAATCTCAGCGCTCCTGTTGTGCTGATGGGTCATCCAGAGAAAAGGAAGTGTAAAGCAAAACACTCCTGAGCAGAGAATAGGATGATCACCTTACAGCTATGCTAATTTGACAGGAAAAGGAGATGGAAAGCAACGAAGCACTGTATGCTTTCTTTATGCTGGTTTCGGTGGAAGTACATAGCAGGATTAGGCAGTGCAGATGAGAGCAGAACACTCATCTTTTGTGTTGTCTCTACCTCAGAAAATCACTTTCTAGCAGCATTCTTTGGAAAGAAAGGTCAATAAAACAGGGTAAGAAAGAGGAGATGGGTCACAGCTCCCCTTTAGATATTGAAAGGCTGCTATCGGGTCTCCCTGGAGCCTTCTCTTCTCCAGGTTGAACAGCTCGACATGCAAAAAGTCAGAGAACAGATTTCATTACATTCCTGAAGGTCGTCTAATTAAATATATATATATATATCCTTATTCAAGCATATAAAATCATCTACAAAAACTAAAAGCAGAATCATACGCAGATGTAAGAATCTGCTCAGATGTTCTTACTACTTGGCTTCTTCAAAAGTCTGATTCATGACCAAGCAAGTTCTCCCATAACATCTTATTTTCTGGAAGAGCTTCAAAAGAAACGAGTGGAAAGAAAACGAACTGCATCAAACTGCTAGTACAGATCTGACCAAGATTACCTGCTCCATTGGCCTGTGTCTGTGGCTTTGCAGGCTGTTGAGCTGCAGATACCTCTTCAGCTCTGCAAAGAAGAACAGAAACAATGCAAAATCCTGCAAGTTAATTAAAGAGAAAACCAAACATGCGTCCTCTTGCAGGATTAAAATTATCACAGTACGCTGCATTCAGGATCCAGGGAAATATCACCATGTAACGGATAAGTGTAGTTTAGCCATTTTCTGTCAGCAACCACTCAGCCTGATCTTTTAACAAAATATTTTAGTATCATTTGGTTGTATTACTTATGTCTTTGCATTTTATGTTTATTGCAACGCTGCCAGAAAACTCTTCAGAGCCGTGACTCTTCCCACAGCAATAAATGAAAAGGGATTCCATACTGCAAGCTGATAACCACAGTACTCAAACAATACCACAGTTTATTATATGACCCTTGAATTCTGCTGCTGTTAGTACAGTCAATACCACTCATCTTCACAGTGAGAAGAGCAGATACCAAGAATTATTTCAAATGATACATTGCTAGCTCTCGGTGCAGAGATGCCAAGCCAAGATGAAACTGTATTAAAAAATAAATAAATGCAAAATTCATGTATCAGTGTGAAAAACAGAGATGATAATGTTCCAAAGCCACACAACAAGAATCAGGCATCACTGGTCTCATCTTTCAAGACAGATCAAGAATAATGCTCTCATTCTTAAAATCACATGTTTTGGAAAACAAGAACCATCTGGCCATTCTGCACACGTATAAGGCTCCACATTACATCTGCAGGATCCATAGCCTCCAACTGCTAAAGTGTCTTGAGAACACTTCCAGCATCAGTTCATCAGTCTTTAGCCATCCATGCAGACATGCTACAGAAAGATTTCTCTAATGAAGAAGCAGCTTTGCAACAGAACAGCTGCAGCAAGCTTTTTGTGACACAGAACTGTATAATCAAAAAGGTTATTATTCAAAACAATAACATGTTAGCTGTGTACTTTCACTGACACTTATTTAAGGAGACAAGGTAGGTGCTTTCAAATGTTCGTTCCATTTCTCACTCCTCAGGAAAGGAATCAAGTGGGACGGATGCAGGTCAGCAAGAGGAGATCACTGTGCACTAGGCAGGTAACAGAATACAGATGGGTTTATAGGCATCTTGCCTTTCTTCCAAGAAGTACATTAGCTAAAATCTCACTGTATTGTCTGCACATGGCAAAGGCTGCTGTGAATTTGTGCATTCTGACTCATTAAGATGGAAAAATGACAGGGCTAATTACAAGCACTCCCTATACATAATGGATTTTCTACGTTCCTGTTTATTTCTAAAAAGAACATTTAGAAATAGTTTATTGATTTGTAAAGTAACTGGATGTCAGTCAAGGTGAACTCAATGGTTTCATCTTTGAAAACCACTTGTTTTCACCCCTCTGCAGATCTTTTCCACGCTGTTTCTATATTTGCAGCAACTCTTCAAATTTTCTCAGCAGTAATCTAAATACCAGCAGGTTTTTTTTTCCCCTAACTAAACTTTCACTTGTGTTTCTCCGTAATTTTTCCCCAGTTCTGTACAACCCTGAGGTTCTGCACCCAGACATTCCTTCTTCTTGCTCCTTCTCACACATGCATCCAACTCCATCCCTCTAAAGACAACAAGCAATGAATGTGATCAAATTTGCACAGATTATTGCATAGCAGTGTCTTTCTCCCAACACAGTTCTACAGTGACTCCATACAGGTGGGACATTTTTAGTCACTGTCTGTCACTGCCACCACGTATCGCTGAAAACTCATTTTGGTAGGAAGGCCACAGTCATTCACAGGCAGGTTCCCGTTGCTTGAGCAGCATCCTGGGGGGATGTCACACCTGAACAGCTCCAGTGACAGAATGGAGATGGGATCCCACCATCAACAACCATCAGAGCCTTCAGGCTGGGTCTTCCTTTGACATGCTGGGATCTATTTTCAGAAGCAGCTCAGCGTCATTACTCTCTATGTTACTTGGAAAAAAATCAAGAAAGATCTCATCCAGCAACAGTCTGGAATACCAGGCTTACTGCCTTCCTCAGTAGCACACCAGAGTCTGGCTCTGGCCATTCCCGGTGGTTTTTCCATTTGTTCATTTTTTGGCACTGTTTTACTTGCCATCTGCCTCTCACTCTTTCCCCATGAAGAACACGACCTTTATGAATCACCAGGTTAATGACAACTCATTACTGCACCTGTGAATCAGGTTATAATTAGCCACCTCAGACAAATTTGGTTCAGGAAGCTCAAAATTCATTCTTTAGGCTTGAAAACCCATTGGGAAGCCCAAATCACTACAGCAAGACCCCTGATGGGCAGGAATCATCCTTCCTACAGTTTCTGAACCTCTTATCATGCCAGAGACCAATTAGAAGGCAGGAAAATATGAACTGTCTTTGAAACAACACAGAAGGTTGTGTTTTGCTGCAGACTTCCTAACTGCAGCCTGTATTGAAGAAAACAAGCTGCATTAATGCCTCTGTGAGCATGCTTTCCACCCAGAAAAAAAGCTGTGGTCAGTAAGGCTAACGGGCCATCCTCCTGATGGAAGGGCATGTTTATACAACTACAGATTGAACCCACTTAGAAGCAAAGGCTGATTAAAACAGGAAATAGCAAGCTACAGCTAAGAAAAGATGAGCACAAGTGTGGGAATTCTTTTATACACACTTGGCAGGGAAGCATGGATGTTAGAGCTGCTCATGATGAGTACATGTGCAATGTTTAAAAATGACAAGCACACATCAGTGAGGCTTCCACTCAATTCTGCCCCACAGAAACACACAAAATGGTGCCAAACTGTTATTTTCATAGCCATATGACCCAAATGTTTAGGGAACTTTGATGCTGAACTGCTGCTCGTTTATCATATCTAAATATTTTTGCTTTGTGTGTCTTTAGCCTTGACTACAGCTGTGAGTTGAACGGAATGTGAATCAAAAGAATCTTTCCAAAAAACTACACGAAGACCTGACCTATTGCACACAGCCTTACAACAGCCACAGGGCTGCTCTCAGCCATGTGCACTCTTCCTACAGACTAGCTCTAATACTGAGCTCTCAAACCCATCATCATTCCTTTGACAGCTTTTCTGAAGCCAGTTATGTCTCTGTTGGATCTCAAAGAAACACATGCACTCTTCCACGGAAAGCACCTTCCAATAACAGAAACAAAAATATTATGCAGAAATGAGGTATTTTCATGGCTCAGTTTAAAGACAAATCAGCCAGATATACATGGCATCTCAACCAGAGGGGCTGTTACATACTTGAGTTAAAATACTTTCACGTTTTCCATTTCCCTCCCATTAAAATACACCAAATACTTTAGGACGCTTTGTCTTTCCCACACAGATATTCCCACATTTTACACGGCTAATTTAGTTTGTACTTTCAGAAACAAAATAAAAGCTCTCAGAAGAACTGTTATCAACTCAAAGTTGTGCAAGATCTCATCTAAATATCTGTGGCCAGAGAAAAACAACAAAAAAAAAACCAACAAAAAAAAAAACACAACACCCCAAACTACTCTTTACAGGAGGTAGATTTGGTGACAGGCTGATAAGTTAAAAATAATGAGAAGGACAGTTCAGCAAGCTGGATTTGTTAGCAATCCCAGCGCAGTACCACTGCCAAAAACCTGACCTGGGTGTCAGCTTCTTGCTACCTGTATGCAGTCCCAGCCTAACAGGTACCTTTCCAGTGGAGAAAGTCTTCAGAGAACAGCTATTTTCACTGTCATGCAGAGCATCTTCTCAAGGGATGCCATTCAGCAAGGGGCCAGTTAGTCAATAAAAATGCACAATACAGAAGAAACGGTGGCTTATGTCAAACCACTGTCTATTCTTAAAAATAGCTCAAGAGATTCATATGAGACACAGCTTGCTGGTAAGTGTTGTTACAGTACTTCGTATTTTTTATTGTGTGACAGAGCTGGAAACAAATTGTAAAACAAGGCAGCAACAGCCCACAATTTACACTAAACAAGCATTACTCACACAAGACTATTCCAGATTATTTATGCATTGTTCCACCAGTAAAATGTTACTGGCTTCAGCTGTTGCACCAAATGCTGGGCTGTCTCAAAGTGTCTATGGAAAACTTGAGCCGAGGGCCTCTTTCTGAATGCTCAGACATACAGTGAACACTGCAACAAACAAGTCCAAATCCAACTAAATATCCCCTTCTTCCACTCCTCCCTACAAACAATTTGATGAAATAAGCCCATGCTCTACACACAAAAAATGTCATTAACCCATTGTTCTCTCCTTGTTGCACACTTTGCATGTATTTATACAGCTGCGTGTACTGATCTGCTTCACATATAGTTCTGAATACTGGAATAGCTAAAATAATTTCTTTCTCCTTACAATACAGCTTGATTTGTTTTTCATTAGTAGTTCACTTCTGTAAGCAAAGAGCATACATGCAAACATTTTTATAAACATACTACTTGAAGATGACATGGAAACTTAACTGAGACTTGGGCAAATGTTTCTGTTGATGTAAGTACAAATAGTGACTTTCCAAGGCAAATTCACTTAATAAAATTAAGTTGCTAGCAGATATATATTTAGCCTACTACATGCTTGATTGTGTCAACACTGTGTCTGTAGTAATAACAGAGGTATTTTAAAATGCCTACAGTAAAGTGCAAACAGATAAAAAGCAGTGGAAAAGAATTTCACACAATGAGCACGGTGTAACAAAAAGCCTAGGTAAACTAATTTTTCTTCTGAGTGTAAACTGGAATGCAGCTTCAATATATTTTTTTTGCTGTTGTATAAATGTCTGCCCAAGAAGATTGAAATGTTAGCAACATGAATCAGAAAAAGACTTGGATAAAATGGGTAATTGGCTGAATGTAAACCTCAAGTGCAAGCCAAGTTCAAAGGGCTAGTGTAATCCTTAAGATATCTAAATGGGAATACAGCATTGAGGGGGAGAGGTCATGACACATTAGTTTAATAGTGGCACACTTGTTAGAGATTTTCTCTGATTATGGTTATCCACAACCCAACACAACAGATGTTGACAGTTCGAGAGAAAACACTGAGAGCTGAAAAAAAGCCCAAACATTTGATAAACAAAGATCAAACTCTTTTCTCTGTAAAATGCTCATACTTGCAAGTCACAGCCAGACCCTTATTTGGCCAATATCAGATCCTGGGACACCCCCATTGCTTCCTGTAAAGAGCAAGTCCACACACAGGACGGTGGGCACTTCCTACAGAGGAAGCCCTTGTCCTTCTTCAGAACTCTCAGTTAGAATGGAATAATTCTCCCCCTTCCGAGACGGGCATGAACCCAGGTGTTCCCCTCTCAGAAGAAAGCCTAAGGGCCAGAGTTGATGGTACAACCAGTACTGTACTCAGCTGTACGGGATTTGCTTAGTTTCAGCTGGGATGGAATTGTTTTCTTCAAAGTGTCTGGTATAATGCTATGTTTAGTTCTAGAAGAAAAACAATATTGATAACACACCATTGCTTACAGTTGCCCACTAAGCAGTGCTGTACAGGGCCAAAAGGGCCCAAGAGCTGGAAGGGAACAGAATTAGGATAGCTGACTTAAACTGGCCAAAAGGATATTCCATGCCATATGACATCAAGTGGAAGGAGTTCTGGAGGTGGTCGGAGTTCATCTCTCTCTGTTCTGTTGCTTGGGGGTCTAGTTGGGGGATGACAGGCAATTGCTTGTGCATCACTTGCTATACACATTTTTATATACATAGTGATAACTAGTTTACATTTCTCTCAGTAAATAGTTTTATCTCAACCCACCAGTTCTAGTTTGTGTTGTTTTTTTTTTTCTTTATTTCTCTCCCCTGTCCCACTAGGAAGCAGGGGAGTGAGCAAATGACTGTGTGGTGCTGCCTGGTTGAACCATAGCAGGTAGCATATTAGACAAAAAGGTGCCCTGAAGCATCAGTTTCACCTACTAACATTCACACTTTATAATGCTGTTATGGGGCAAACAGATATTCTCAGCATGGGAACAGGTCCAACTTTGTCCCTCTTCCACTGTTCCCAGCAGTTCACTCGAACAATGAATCTTCAGTCTAGACACTAAACGGAAGTTACATGTGCATGCAGCAAAGCCAACCAGCACAGGAGGTGAAAAACGGTCTCCTACTTCGCAGCTCTGAGAGCAACCATAAAACCACAGAAAAAATTCCCAAAACAGAACCATGCAGGTCACATTTCCAGTGCATGACCACAGGACTGGCTTGCAAGGACCTCACAGAGCCTCTTCTAAGCAGCGTGGGTCAGGACTGCACATGGACCAATCCTGCATGGAACCAGAGATTTTGACAAAGCATCAGCCAAAATAAAAAAATCTAATGCTGTACTAGGTTTTGAGAGTAAGAGAGTAAGAGTATTTAATCTGCCATATAAAAGCCTCAGTGAACCTACAGTGTGAACACAGACTTTTCATCTTAAGACAGAAGAATTAAAGAATAGTAAATGAAGCACTGAAGGGGAAACACAGGAAAATCTGGAACTCTACAGTCTGCAGAAAAGAATAAGTGACCAAAGGTAATACTTAAGCTGAATGCTTAATAGTTACTCACTTCTGTGATTAACTCAACTCTAAGTAGAGACACTAGGAAATGTATTAAAGAAACAAACTCCCACAATTGCTTCTTCGTAGTTAACAGTGAACTTCTGAACTACTTCCATAGCTTAGCGTAGACTACTGAAAGCAAGTAAGCTCACATACTCTCCATAAACATCTCCCATCCCCCTGCAACAGAATACTGGGTGTAAGGGCAGCTGGCCTAACCATAAAAGGATTTTTATGCTCAGCATATGTACTGCAGGAAGTAGCTGGTGAAGTTTGTACAGTATTGGAAATCTCATACCCAGAGCAAAAAGTTTTGCCAGTTTGCTCTTGCCTGTAACCTCCAAATAGCTGGCAGCATTTACTCTGCACAATTACCAACTCAGCTTGCACTATTTAGTGATGACTGTAGTTGATGTTGAACCACAGCTCCAAGTACTCAGCCAAGTAACCTTAGCTACGCTGAGGACAACAACGCGGGCAAGCGAGCTAGACCATCAGGGTCACCAAGCATCTGCTACAGTTCTAAGAACTAAAGTCTCCATACAGACAGGCAGACTAAGAAAAGACATCATCAAATGTGTTGCTTAGTAGCATCAGGAGAAATGTCTTCAAAGCTGTACAAATTTAGGAGTATGGGGAGGGACATACTCCTCACTGCAGTGGCAAGGAAGGCTCAAATTTCAGCCACTTCCATACATTAAGGACTGTGGTGTGGTACTGGGATGCCCTTGCACTCACCAGAAGAGGAGTAGCACTGACTGGGCAGTCAGGAGATGACAGTGTTTGAAGAGGCAACATGTATCCATCAGCACGGCACAGGCTGTGGCATTCAGCATCACACAGTGCATGCTGACAGCTCCATGCAGGTCAGACCCCAGAGATGATAGGAAGAACATTCCAACCAGACAACTGCCAGGACATCTCTGTTGCTATGACAGTACGTATGGTCAAGTAATACGGGAGTACTGCTCTGTACAAGATGTACTTTCATAGGAAAGGACAGCTTCTTTCTCTGTGAACCACTTGTTTATTTTAAGAGTCTAAACTGGAAATGGATATTTTCACCCAAACTTTCATTCAGTTTGAGACCTTAAGTGGCTTTCAGCTATACAGCAAAGACATTTCTCTTACCCTTCTTTAAGTACTTCACTGACTTCATGTTCTAGTTTCCACTTTCCCTGCCTCTTTAAAGCCCTTCCCTTAATGTTTCAGTCTTTGTTTCATCACTCAGCTTCCTGATGTACTTTTACAGGAAAACATAGCTTCTCTCTCCGTGAATTACTCATCTAAGTGATTTTTGATGTGTTTTTTGAATTGATGTTTTCACCAAAACTCCTCATTCAGAGTCTGAGACCTCAAGTGGCTTTCAGCTATACAGTGAAGACATTTCTCTTACCTTGCTTTAAGTACTTCATTGACTTTTTGTTCCAGTTCTAGCCTCCTCTGTCGTTCCTTTTCTAGTTCTTGCCTTAATGTTTCAGCATTCGTTTCTTCTCTCAGCTTCCTGAGTTCCTCCTCTGTTAAGTAGGATAGAATAAAAACATTTTGCTATTTTGAAGAACAATAAACCCTAAATATGGCAAATAAGATTTTTTTTGTCGTTTTCTTGTTGTTTCCATTTGGGCTACAGCAAATATTTTCACCATAAAAAGCAAATAATTGAGATCTGGAATAACTTCACAAAAAATGCACAGGTATACCATGTACAAAACGTTCCATTCTAACTGTTAAAGCAAGTAGAAAAATGACTTCAAAGTTCTCCTTTACAGATACATCCTTTGGTACAAGCTACCTTTAGCTAAATACAGCTTGACATATCCTTCATTCCCCACAGAAATAATCAGCAGGAAAGGCTATTTGTTGCTCATAAAATAAAATAATAAAAAAAATCTGTTCCTCCTTTTCCTCCCATGTGTATGGGTAGGAAAAAACAAACTCATACTCATGAAGTTATCCAATGCTACATAATTCTCTGTCAACAACTGGCACGCTAGTATTTTCATTCAAGTCAGGTGGATGCATTACAGACTTGAGTCTGTACAGAACAGGTTATGGGATGAGGAATTGAGTACAGGTTTCTATTTTTTTCCAAGGTTACAGGGTGCCTGACTAAATTCCAAGAAATTATGTATGTATAAACACACCTATATATACACAAATATACATATTCTCTTTCATGAACTATCAACTATGCATAAGACTTTTTTGTGGCTAATTAGCTTTGCTTTTTGTCACTGACAGTATCATTGTCATGATCTTATTTTAGTCTAGAGCTACAACAGACTTGCTGTCACCAATTGCTTTGCCAAGATAGGCACTCAAGAGACGTGACAAAAAGAAGACTGGGAATCTCTTTTGTTCTTTCCTTTTTTTAAATGACAAAATTACTCTATTTTTTGTTCTCTGGGCTGCTGGATTTTTTAGCTCAGTCTTGGCAGTAAGTAGAACAGCAGGTGTATTTTAGGCTTATAGCAAACCAGAGCAGAAATACTTGCTAATTCTACTATCTCCACAGACACAGGAGTTCAAGCTTTACCGTTTTACACGAGTCACAGATTATGTTCTACCCTACAGCAACCTCTTCTGTTTCTTTTTATATAGTCTTGTAAATTTGTGGTCAATCTGACAGTTTTGATATCTGAACCTTGTCACTTCAATCAGCATGTGCCTTGAGGAGGTCACAAGTCCCACTGCAAGTATTCAGAAGATCTGATAAACTCTCTGCCCTCACTGCACGAGGGGCTCCTGCAGCATCTCCCATCATTTTATCTGCTGTGCCAGTTAGCTGGTGGCGGATTATCCATATTCCTGCCACACTAAGAGGTTTAGAGCACAGAATTAGGAGAGAAAAACATGAAGTGAGAGAACAGCACAATGCGATGTGTTCCACTGGGAGGCTACAGGTTGTATTCCAGCAAACAGGAGTGTGCTGTCATTTCACCACTGATGCTTTGTTAACAGCCCCAGAAAGAAGACATGAAGCAGAGAAGTCAACTTGTCCTCTAGCAAAAGAACTCCAGATTTATTCTCAAGACTATACTATGCTATGATATGATACAGAAGGAAATCTGCTGTTGCAGCAGAGATTGTTTGCCCTGTAGATAAAGAGAAAGATACAGGCATAAGGGCACATCTTTTTATACAGAGCTGTTTCTAATTACATGTCTACAAGCAATTTGAATTCCAGCAAGAAAACTGTGCTTGCAATTAGCCTTTCCTACACTTTCGAGAGTTTGCATTGCTGCATAACAAGAGCATGCATTCAAATGAACGGAAGCAGTTCTTGTAATTCAAATACACTGGAGCTTGTGCAATATTACAAAAGGTTCCAGAGGGAAGATTAATTTCTCAAGACCATTAAAGGGAAAAAAATTCTTTGATAGCTATTTGAAAAATAAAAACTGAAAAAAAGAGGAAATGAATAAGCATTTTGTGTACACAAGAAAACCACAAGTAGTATAAATTAACCTCAGTGTTCTTGAAAGCCTACACAGATCCTCCAGCTTTCGTAATCCTTCTTGTTCTGATTGTACTGTGTCTCATCCTATTAAAAACAAAACAAAACCCAGAAACTCGAACACTGGGAGGACAAGAAGAGCCAGATAATTATTTTACGCAAAGGAGGCAGAGTAAAAGGATGCACAATGAACAAGACAGAACTCCTATAAAACAAGGCAAAAAAAACAGCATCTGATAGTACTCCTTAACTTTCAAGTATGCAACTTTGCAATTTGAACCCACCTCAGCTCTGCCCATTCCATTCTTTAAAGCAGCATTTGTTGCTGCTTTGGCAGCAGTATGGGTCTGGTGTTGTAAAATCTCCGTGTCTGGTGAGTTAAATATGCCAAGTTTGCTAAGCAACAGAAACCACCACAGAGGATAGAAAAAAGAAGAAGAAAAAAAAAAGAAAAAAAAAGAGCTGTTCTTCCTTGCTCTCTGCCCTGAAATAATCTACAGTTTGGCTAAACTGAACTGAAATTCTCAAGCCCCAGGTGCTCCTCCTGCAAAGCAACCAAATTGGCCATGAAGACCAGAACCCACGAACTCTAGAGCAGAGCCCACAAGATAACACCATGTCTTCCCACTGAGCTTTACAGATGTGTATTCTCCACGATGATGAGAGAAGTGCACTCCTTGGAGTTTACCCTCAGACAGCCAAAGTCCAGTGCTCTCCCTCCCCCACCACCCCAAAGGGGTGCACACAAAGAAGGCTGTGCTTCAGGTCCAAGATTAATCCATTTCCCTCCCAGGCACATCAGTCACAGCTCCCAGTCTCCTGCTGTATATGACATTACAAGAGATTCGGGGTACGGCTCAACCAGACATGGATATGCGACCCTCAAAAATGCTTTAAAGACTCTCCAAGTAAAGTGAAGTTTCTGGATGCTGCTTGCTGCATTTTTAAAAATGAGCTTTAGAAGTCTGCAAGGAGTCAGTCATCTAAATTTAAAGATTTAACATTTCCAGAAGCTTAGCTGCTCTCACCCAGTCACTCAAAGACAAGCTACCCAGTATTTCAATACAATGCAGCTATCATTCCCCACCATGCCATCAGCCTTACAGCTACTGAAAAAAGTCAGTTTCCCTCTCAGGACAGACAGAAACGTTTTGCTAAAAACCCCATAACTACTGTATATCTATATGTCTAGTTCAGAGAGAACAAAGAAGGCCCAGCAATATTTGGGAAAAGAAGATGCTATGTTAGGCTGGGAAGGCATTACACAGTAAGTTGGCTTTCTAATTCAACACCACAAGTGCAGTAAAGCGGATGTTTCCTTTAATAAGGGGATTGGAGGTGGATTAGGGAGACTCCCAGTAGCTATTTTACATAATAGCTTTCCTTTGGAGGCCTACAGGTATGCAGCAAAATCTCCCTGTGAGACAAAGAGAGAAAAAATTACTTCCAGAGCAGAGCCTAGAGAGAATACTGTAAATTGATGTTTATGGATACCGTCAGCTCAGCGTTAAATCAAATCAGACAAAGTTAAAACAGCAGAAGTGCCAAATAGCATTGGATGTATCCTGCCACATTTACATGGGGAAACACCAGTGCTTAATAAGACAGGAATAACTCTTCTACGTCTATGTTAATTATGGCAAATCTCCCTTTAACCCCTTGAACAATTACTGGAGTTCAAGTATGTAGTCCAATAGGTAATGAACGTGCTAAATCTCAACAACACACTACCAAAGTGGATCTCAGCACCAGTGCTAGAAGCTATCTCCAACACATGCACCTTCTGCCTTTGCCTGACTCCCAGTTCCTCCAGACAGCCAGAGTATTAAGTGTGTCCCAGGTAAGCCAGTACAACATAGCAGACAAAAATGTTAAAAATCTGAAAATATATATATTTTTATTGTCATAGACTTTGAAGTGCTTTTATTCTTTATCCTGAACTCCAGCAATAAATAGCATAGAAGACATGGAAGTGCTTCACCATTTGTCATAAAGTAAAGCCACATTCTAAGAACACTTTCTGCTGTCTGAGCAACAAGTAGTGATGAGGAAAGACCTACCAAAAAAATAACTACTTAGGTTGGTAGGTAGGTCTTTTTTTTTTTTTTTCCTACTTTTTATGGTGATGTTGTGATTTATTTTGTATCGTGGAGGCAAGTTCCCAATCCACAGCTACAAAAGGATACAGCTGAAGTGTGAACTAATTATTTACCAGTTCTCCTTTGAATCCTTCCCTTCCCTCCCCAAAGGCTTCTGTCCTTTTCACCACAGACTCGAGAGCCATGGAGACTCCAAAGCCTTACCACACATCTATCTGTAAGACTTCAAATAATGTACTAACTTTTGATACCAGACAGTGCCAGACATTCTAATTTTTTGCATGACAGATGCTCAGGAAAGAAAAGGGCTTGACTAAGACACTGTTCCAGCAGCTTCACTTTATTAGCTGTCCTTTGTTCTTTAAGTCACCTCTTCAATTTATGAGCTTTCAAGTCGGTACAGAATTTTTTGAGCATGGCATGCAGGCTCTTGTTCATATTAGGCAAAGTGCACAGCTAATGGTGGTGATAATGCTGAAGAACAGTGCTTTGTAGCCGAGAATTTGCTTTGTCAAACAGCACTATTTTGCTCTTTGTAGCTGTTTTAATTTTCATGGAAACAAATAGGATGCATTACTTTTGGAGCAACCTACATACTTCCAGTATGTTGCAACTACAGTTCCCTCTTTCTACAAGCACAGTTTAAAATATCAGTGAATGCATTCTTGAGAGCAAAAAAGAGTCATTTAAGGGTTCAGATTCACCTATGGAACATTCAGCAGTTAGTGCCACAGTAACATTCGATACAGCAAACATAAAATTTTTGTCATGTTGGGTTGTTTTTTGGTGTTTGCTTTTTTTTTAATCACAAGACATTCAGTGGTGAGGAGTCTCAGACGAGCAAAGAATTTGTATGAATAAATTAAAAAACCAATCAAACAAAAAAAATCTAAGACCTCTCATGATCTGCCCAAGGAGGCTGTGGATGCCCCATCCCTGGAGGCATTCAAGGCCAGGCTGG